GTGCGGTAGTGGCTATGGAAAAGGACGCAAAATCCTGACTTAGCTTATCTTACAACAAGGGTAGACAGATAATAGCTCTAGATCTAAAAATCAATGTACTGGTGATCTACAGTAGGTCATAGTGACAGATTTTATTTTCTTGGGCTCCAAGATCATTACAGACGATGACTGCAGCTAAGAAATTAAAAGACGCTTGCTCCTGGGGAGGAAAGCTATGGCAAATCTAGACAGCATACTAAAAAGCAGAGACATCACCCTGTCGACAAAAGTGCGTATAGTCAAGGCTATGGTTTTTCCAGTTGCAATGTATGGCTGTGAAAGCTGGACCATAAGGAAGGCTGAGCACCGAAGGATTGAGGCCTCTGAATTGTGGTGCTGGAGGAGACTCCTGCGAGTCCCTTGGACCGCAAAGAGATCGAATCAGTCAATCCTAAAGGAAATCTACCCTGACTGCTCTTTAGAAGGCCAGATACTGAAGATGAAACTCAAGTACTTTGGCCACCTAATGAGAAGGAAGGCTTCGCTGGAGAAGAGCCTAATGCTGGGAACAATTGAGGGCAAAAGGAGAAGGGGGCGGCAGAGGTTGAGGTGGCTGGATGGAGCCACTGGGGCAGTGGGTGTGAGCTTAGGTGGACTCTGAGGGATGGCGGAGGAGACGAGAGCCTGGAGGAATGTTGGCCATGGGGTTGTGGTGGGTCGGGCATGACTTTACGACTAAACAAACACAGTAGAACAACAAGCCCCTACAATTCTTTAAGAGATATCTCTCTAAGACAGGAAATGCAATCTTTGCTTCTTGTATTGCAGTAGTACTGAACTCAGGAAAACTCCTAGAAATAGTGCAGTGATCGCCTCAACCCAAGAACTGTGGACATTCCAGAGAACGCCTTACTGGGCAAAGGGTTGAGTGCATTTAGCTGGCCTCAATAAGGCTCTGCTGCCACCTCTTGATTTACTTATTCCATTACTGTTAAAACACTGAGAATTCAGATTATATTCATATGAATTATAATGTTTAAAAAAATAGTCTACAGCATAAATGGACTTGGGGACAATCCTATAAAAATTTACTTGGAAATAACAACATAATCCTATATAGATCTACCCAGAACTAAACCCGCTGTGTTCAAGAGAACTTACCCCCAGGACATGGTGGGCATGTCATGAGTGGATCTGGCTGGAGCCAGGGGTCAGACTAGATGGCCCAGGAGACCCCTTCTGACTCACTCTGTTTCTATGTTTCTAAGTGGGTAGAAGACTGTAACTTAGTCACTTTGCCTCTCTGTCCTTCTACTCTGCTTTTTCACTAGACAGGCTTTTTTGTCCCTCTAGCTGGAGGGTTTTGGTGGCTGAGAGAAGAAGGCAGAACACTTCCTACCTTGGCATCCCCAGCCTCCTTCCATCCCTGCCGCTCAAACTGCCCCCCTCCCCTCCCCTCCCCTCCCCTCCCCTCCCATATCGCTTTCCCAGCCTCTGCGGGACCGTTCTTGCAGTGAAGGCAGCAAAGCAGGAAGTGAAGCACACTCTCCAACTGGCAATCTTAAAAAATCCTATGGCTCTTTGGATGCTCTCTAGGGGCCACAGGAGCACATCCTCGTTCCATTAAGCGAAGTGGGACATACTTCCAGATATACAAGAAGAATATTATGCTTGTAATCCTTAACTAAAACTTTAGAGATGGGAGTGGGCGTTAAAATGTGGCCATAACTTAGGTTTGTCCTGAGTCTGGTTTTATTCGGGAATGCTATAGCAATAAGGATGAAAGAGAAAAATATTGAAATGATTATTTTCTTTCCAACAATACATGGGAGTATTGTTTATTTAAATTAGTAAAATACCTCGGAATTCCTTGGAATCACACATATATAAAAATGAGTCTAAGAGTTGGATTTTATAATAGTGGATGTTTTTGATTTAAAAGCAGATGCTTGCTGCCAATTTAAAAATTCTGAGTTGGCAAACAGCCTTAAAAATTCTGTTTTGCTCATTAAGGTTTTGGATCCAAAAGGAGGTGGACTAATAGTTGCTTGTGGCCATTAATTTGGACAACAGCTCCCTCTACTGTTCTATTCTTAAATAGCTTCAGATTTTCTACCTTCCTTAAAATGCAAAGGTATTTTAATAGTAAAATAGGGCATGCAGGAAGGTGTAGGGAGGGTCTCTAAGACAGTGATGGCAAACCTTTTAGAGACGGAGTGCCCAAACTGCAACCCGAAACCCACGGATTTATCGCAAAGTGCCAGCACTGCAATAGAACTGGAAAACTGAGGTCTGAGTTTAGAAAAAACACCTTACAGCCAGTCCAAGCAAATATATATGTATATATGTATGTATATATGTGTATGTATGTATATATGTATATGTATGTATATATGTGTGTGTGTGTGTGTGTGTATGTGTGTGTGTGTGTGCGCGTGCGCGCGCGCTTGGCAGTGCACTGACCAGCCATGCGAAAGCTCGGATGAGTTGCGGCTTGTGGCGTCATCACCTGGTGCAGCTACTGCTTTCTGAGAATGCGCATGGCCCCTAAGTGCACTGCTTTCCAATGCTTGGCCGCTAGGGTGATGCTCCGGCGACGGGTCGCATGCTGACAGAGAGGGCTCTGCATGCCCATGGTGGAACGTGTGCCAGAGGTTTGCCACCACTGGCCTTACCCTACCCTGGTGCACACCCCTAACCCTACTTTAGGGTGAAAGTTCCATTGAAAAGAAGGCGATTTTGAAAAAGCGCTCCTTGAGTAGCCTTTTCTGCACAGCTCAACATTTCTGCCCATGCTAAACACATTCCAACCATCAAAATCATTCCAGGACACCTTGTTTTTCTAACCCTAACCCTGCCCTGATGCACACCCCTAACCCAAATATAGGGCGAAAGTTCAATTGAAAAGAGGACAATTTTGAAAAAGCACTCCTTGAGTAGCCTTTTCTGCACACCTCAACACTTCTGCCCATTCTAAATATACTCCATCCATCAAAATCATGACAGGACACCTCCATTTTCTAACCCTAACCCTGCCCTGGTGTACACTCCTAACCCTACTTTAGGGCGGAAGTTCCACTGAAACATGGGCGATTTTGAAAAAGACTTCACTGGGGAGCTTTTTCTGCACAGCTCAACATTTCTGCCCATTCCAAACACATTCCAGCCATCAAAATCATACCAGGACACCTCCTTTTTCTAACCCTAAGCCAGTGATGGTGAACCTTTTAGAGACTGAGTGCCCAAACTGCAACCCAAAACCCATTTCTTTATCGCAATGTGCCAACACTGCAATAAAATCTTAAAACTGAGGTTTTAGTTTAGAAAAAACACCTCACAGCCAGTCCAAGCAAATACATATATATCCTTGGCAGCGCATTGACCAGCCATGTGAAAGCTCGGATGAGCTGAGACTACTGAGCCGCAGCTCATGACACCATCGCCTGGCCCTGCTACTCCTTTCCGAGCATGCACATGGCCCCTACGTGCGCTGTTATCTGATGCTCGGCTGCTGGGGTGATGCTGGGGCGACTTGCCTCATGTGCCGACAGAGAGGGCTCTGCGTGCCCACCGTGGCATGCGTGCCAGTGGTTCGCCACCACTGGTCTAAGACATCACCCTTAAAGAGGGTAAGAGGGTATTTATTTATCCCAAACTTACCCAATTTGATGCTCCCCACGTGTTGGAAACTCCTGTGGGAAGCTGTTTTCTACTGTGTACACAGAGTGCTGGACGAGATGGACCTTTGGGCTGATCCTGCATAGCTGTTCTTATGTTTTAAGGAGAGTACAATCTTGGCCGTTTTCATTTCAATTGCATTCCTAATTCTGCCTAACATTAAATTTGCTGGAGAGCTTTGTATGGCAGAATTTATTCTCCTAAAAGACAAACAAAGGGAGTTCCCTAGAACAAAAGGGTATTTTAAGGGGTAGGCAGATGGTGCTTCATGTACTGGTTCACCCAGTGGGAAGTCCATTTCATACTTCTCACCAAGCGTTTAGACTGGCCAATTTGCAGTTGCCCCTGTGGTTTGCTTGACTAACCTGTAGCTCAGGAAGGCATTTCTATACAACTGGAGTTCCCACACTTTGCACATCGTAGAAGACAAGTTCTCATCAGGCAGTTAAGGGGTGAAACATACAGGTCTTTAACGTCCATTGCAATATGGCAGGTCAGCTGAACATAGTAGCCAAACCCCACACTACAAAATTACTACTGAAAGAGATTAAGAGACCCAGAGAATTTTAAAACTGCTTGACAGAGGCAGCAGGGGAAAATAAAGAATTTCACTGGTGGCAGCAAAACAGAACCAGGAAAAGAAATATTGCTTGTTTTCCCTTCCACACACAGATCAGGCTGTAGCTAGCCCTGTGACACTGGACAACCGAGTCGCTGAAACCTCCTTCACAGATAATTCCTCTTCTGTTTGTGCCGCACTCCACTCCATGTCTGTGCATATCAAGAGAACTGTGTACCTGCCTTGGAAAATGTTCTCTGGGTAGGATCCCAGAGCTACTAGTCCTCACTGAGCTTTCCATCCCTTCATCAGGGGCTCCCAGACAGCAGGGAACAAAAGCTAAATTTGGGCACAGTGAAGATCCCTCCACTGTGAACCCACCTTTGAGTTGAAACAAGTGTTTACTTCATCAGCAGCTGTTAAAAAATCCCACCAAATGGTTGCACATCCTGGAAAAGCAGAGTGTAAAAGTTGCATGCCAGTGTATGAAAAGTGCAACATGAGACCATATTTATATTTACATCTGATTTGTCATTCAAACTTTAATTTCTACTTGGAGTGGAGGGGAGAGCATGTAGGTGACCCTGCAGATCAATTTCAACATCTCTTCTTGTCTCTTTCCCATCCTTTGTTCAAGGAAAAACAGCTTCTGCCCAAATGAAGATGGATGGCATCAAATCTTTTTCCAGGGTTACATTTCTATTCCAGGATTCCTTCAAAGCTTCAAAAAGTGACAGTAGTGAGAACAAAAGTTATTTTACAAGGAAAAAAAACTACGACTCACTGTGATTTTGCACAAGGTCAAGAGCAACTTTTGTAGCAACATCCATTCCGGTGCTTATGTAGAACTGGCAATTTCTCAGAGATGAAATGCACGAATCCACAGCACCAAAGGACACAACAGTACGGCCAGACATCATGAGCTCGTTTCCTGAAAAATACATATTTTTAACAGCTTTAACATCAGGCCATACAGTGACTCACATGCATGAACATGCACTTTTGCAAGCACCAGAAGCCAGCCGAATGATCATGTGGCCTCTCTCTCTTCTCTGCTCTATAATCAAGTTTTCACATTGTCCTCCTTAAAGGCATCCTTTCCACATGCACCTGTCTGCCAAGGAACATCACCAGTTTACACTAGCTCAAATTATTTGGTCATCTTGCACCGATCAGCACAATTTACAGGGCTTCAGGCAGGAGGTTCTCATAGTTTTGCTACCGATCCTTTTAACTGGAGATGCCCTTGTCATGCTGGTCATACTTGGAGAAGCCATCAGGTGCATTTGTGGGGTTTGGGCAAGCTTGTGTAGGCTGTGACTCCCCTAGAAACATAGAAAGTTGCCCCACCTCTGTCTGACAATTCATACATCTAACCCAGTATTACCGACACAAACTGGCAGCTGTTCTCCAGGTTTTTCAGCAGAAATATTCCCCAGGGTTTCAGGCAGAAATATCCCCCTCAGCTCCCCACACCTGTAAATGCTTGGAATCGAATCTGGGATCTAATCTACACAGCGCAGGTGCTCACACACGGAGCCATGCCTCTCCCCATCACAAATCCTTTCCAAGGATGTGACAAGTGCGTCTTCTGAACCCCCTTCTGTCTCATTCTTATCAGGAGCTTTGTTTTATCTTGCCGGTGCTGCCACCTTTGATGTTTTTCTCCTTCTATGATCTAACCGTAAGATGCTCTGAAAGACTTTGTACCAAATAGCGGGACAAAAAGTACATGGAAGAGGCTGATGAGGACAAAGCGTATTTATTTCTGTATACTGAAATAAATACATAATTAGAGCCATGCTAGATCAGACTAAGGGACCATGAAGTGCAGCATTCTGTTACCACAGTGGCCAAACAACTTCTCACAGGATCCCAGAAGCAACACGTGAGTGCAGCTGCACCCTCCTGCCCAAGTTCCCCAGCAGCAGCTGGACATACGGGCTGTTACTGAAGGTAGCATATAGCCATGAGGACTAGCAGCCCTTGATCGCTTTCTCCCCCATGCAATTGTTCAATCCCTTTTTAAAGCCACCCAAATTAGTGGGCATCTTGAGCAACTCAATTTAGCAATTTTGCATTTGGATTTAGCAATTGGATTTTAAACACATATGAAAATCTAGGAGGCACGCATGAGAATACAGTATTATGAGCCAGTGTGGTACAGTGGCTAGAATGCTGGACTGAGGCTCAGGAGATCTGAGTTCTAATCCCCACCTGGCCATGAAGCTCACTGGGTGACTTTGAGACACTCACTCACTCTCACTTTGTTAGGATAAAATGGAAAGGAGGAGAAACTTGCAAGAAACTTTCTTTGCAACAGGGAAAATGGCACGATACACATGTAATGCAATACAGTAATAAAATGCAACACAATATAATAACAATGCACTGCATTAGGTCATTGTTAAGGAGCCGGTGTCTGTTGCCACAGGAAAGTAAGTCATCTTATCCCCAGTCAGAGGTTTTTGTCCATCTGGCTCTGTCATTTACCAAGACTGCAGCTGTACTTCTCCCATTTTGAACCTGCCTCCTCCACTGTGAGAATTGGACATGAGACCTTCTATATGCAATATGATTATTTATATCATTCCAATACCACCCAATAGCCAGAGCTTTCTGGGTGGATTACAAAGGTTTAATCCAAATATCAACCCAAGCATCTCCGGTGCAAATTAAAATATACGTATTTAGCTACAATTTGGTCAGAGGAAACTAATGCTAGCATACTTTAAGTTTCATGAAATATGGATTTTTAGGATACCTTAAAGTAATTGCCCGCATAAGCACTGTGAGCTTCATTTTTGATATTCTGACTCAACTCTTCCAACATAGACTTCCTACTATCAGTGACTAAGGGAAGAACAGGAAAAGCATTTCTCAGCCACTGTTGTACCAGAAAGTAGTCCACAGAGAGTAAGACTCTGACTGGTTAGTAGTCATGAGAGCTACAGATTAGCTCCTCATGCTTCTGAACGCTGGTTCAAACATGGCCAAGCAAGAGCTGTTGTGCCCAATCCCAGCTTGCAGGCTTCCCAAGCCTATCAGACTGGCCATTATGGGAACAGGATCCTGGAGCAGATAAATATTTGGTCAGGTCTAGCAAGACCCCTCTTATGTTTTTTGTGACGAGGTGCACTTTGAAAAAACAGATGTGTTTCCCAGAACACTGTTTGGGAAAAAAAGCACAGAGCTGTCTTATAAGAAGAACGCTACATAAATTAACAGGGGAGTAGTGTTGGATAAGCTCCCATATATTTTCCTGGGACCACCTAAAATGTGTGCAGGAGCATTAAAGGAAGAACCTTGAAACTTCCGAAGGTTTGCTGGATCACACTGATAGCATCGCCTAATTCCAGAAGACGCCTGCTATCCTACATAAATGGAAACAGCTATTTCTTTCTGTGTTATGTTGGTTGTTCCATCTCATTTTTGCATCACTTCTGTGAGAACCAGCAGGCACCATGTACAATGTTCTAAACCAGGACAGATCTCCATATAATTGGCACTTTTAGTCCCAGAAACCTTTGCCAGCAGGTTAGCAATGCTGGAAATCGACGTCCAAAACTTCTAGAATACTATTTTCTACCCAACCTTATTTTATACTATGACATTCCCTTAGATAGTAATGGACACTCCTTGGTCCAAAAAAGTCAACTATACAAGCCACGCATCTTCAGAGCACCCCTTCCTGTTGATGTCTGCTTGCTTGGTGTGGTGTCCTGCACACTCACAAAAGCTGTTTCATGATGTTTTTAATGCAAATGATAGGACAGTGGCATTCTGGCAGTCCTTATCTGGTGCACAAAGAAGCCATGGCGAACCAAACATCAACTATTCATTATGCCAGTCTGCACAAGTCATGCTGGCACGGAGTGATGGCAAATACAGTTCCATACATATGCAAAGTACCAAGCTGGGGAAAACAGCTTTGTGCCAATATCAGCCCCATCAAATTGCCCACCCTGTCCCCACCAACTACCTAGAGTCTAAGACAGTGGATGTGCAGAATGCAGACTGAACATGAGAATGGAAGAAAAGTGACGCTGGATCAGACCAAGGGCCCATCCAGTCCAGCACTCTGTACACACGGTGGCAAACAGGTTGTGCACAAGATCTGCAAGCAGGATGGGTGCAAGACCTCCTCCTGTCCAAGCTCCTCAGCAACTGGGGCATGCAGGCAGGCCACCCCTGGATAGAGGAGGTAGCACGTGGCCAGCAAGGCTAGTAGGTAGCCACTGATCGCCTCCCCCCTCATGAATTTCTCCAGTCCCCTTTTAAAGCCTTCCAGATTTGCAGCCATCACCATTTCCTGTGGCAGCAAATTCCAGAGTTTAACTATCAGTTACCTTAAGAAGTACTTCCTTGTCCTCAACCTCCCACCAATCAGCTTCATGGGATGGCCTCGGGTTCAAGTGCTAGGGGAGCAGGAGAACAATTTCTCCCTTGCCACTTTCTCCATACAATGCATTATTTTAATGACACCTCCCTCATGTCTCCTCTTACTGGCCTGGCTAAACAGCCCTAGTTGTTGAAGCCACCCCTTATAGCAGAGTTGCTCCAGCCCCCTGATCATTTTCCTTATTTATTTATTCAACATATATTCCGCTATACTGATCTGAAGACTCTCCAAGCAGATTACAATATTTCATAAAATAACAATAATAAAAGCGACATGCAATAAAACATAGAAATATGCAGCTGAGGTCAGATATTAATAAGTTAAAATATATTAAAGATAAAAACAGTATAAATAATACTCAAGTACTAAATCAAGTATTAAAATGTCTGGATAACATTCCTTGACCTTCACTGTACTTTTTCCAATTCAATAATGTGCTTTTTCAGGTAAGGCAACCAGAACTGGACACAATATTATAAATGCAATCATATCAAGGATTTGTATAAGGGGAGTAAGGTCTTGGCAGGTCAAATTTTTCTATGCTGTTCCTAATTAAGCCCAGCATGGAGTTTGCCTTTTACACAGCAGCTATGCACTGTGCCAACATTTTCACTGAGCTGTCCATCCAAGATCCCTTCCTTGCTCAGGCACTGCTAGCTCAGATCCCATCAGCATACAAATGAAGTCGGGATTTTTTTGCCCCAACATGTGTTACTGTACACTTGCTTACACTGAGCTGCATTTGCCATTTTGATCTGCATTTGTCAGCTTGGAGAGACCCCTTTGCAGCTCCTCACAGTCCCTTTTCGTTTTCACTATCCTAAACAGTTTGGTGTTGTCAGCAAACTTACCCCCCTCACTACTTACTTCAAATTCCAGATCATTTATGAATAGGATGAAAAGCACTGGTCCTAATACGAACCCTGTGGGATTACTTCTCTCCATCGGGAGAAATTGCCATTTATTCCCACCTTCTGTTCAATATTAATTCTACTTAAAGCCATTGAAATGAATGGGGCTGATAAGTTAGATACAACTGCGTTAACTCCAATTCATAAAACGCTTAGATGTTCCCTACAGGGATTCCTTCGGGGTTCCTTTTTCTACATCGGTATAAGATCAGAAGCCCTGCAAGACTTTCCAAATAGAAGGGGGGCCTGGAAAAAAGCACGAAAGCCAATACGAAAGCCAGAACTATGTATCCCATGCTATAGCTCTGCTCCAGAACCCCCTGAACATGTACAGAATATCCAGCCATACTGGGAACCTGTTGAAGGGTGATCCATCCATCAAATATAAAAGCCCAATATAGAGACCCATCCACCCCCATTCCCGCTCAGAATTACCCACAACGTCTTGCCCTTCGACTGGGAATTACTCAGTTGAGGGGAGAGAAACCACCTTGGATGGAAAGTCGCCTCCCTGCTTAGTCCCACCTCTGCCCAGTTTCAGATTGTAAACCATCCCGGGCAGAGACCTGCCCTCTTGCATCCGATAAAGTGCCACGCACGCTGCTGGCATCATGAAGCGCGTGATAACGGAGAGACGAGCTCCCGCTCCTTTCCGTTTCTTTCCCCAGTTCGGGGATTCGGCGAGGGGCACCGCAAGCCCCGCGGCCCTCACCTCGCGGCCGGCTCCCCTCGAAGCGGCGGCGGCTGCAGGCACCGCACTTCTCCTGCCACTGCCGCGCTGCGTTTCCTATTGCGAACCACTCCCCGACCGCTCCGAGGGAGGAGGAGGAAGCGCCGGCCGGCTCCTCATTAGCCGGCGCCCGTTCACATGACTCCGGCAGCTCTCATGTGATGCGCGGCGAGAGGCAGGCGCAGCGCCGGGTCGCCTGATGGCCGCTGGGCGTTGGGGCTGAGCACCCTCGCCCGCTGCCTTGGCGCACCCCTCGGCTCGCCCGCTCTGCAAGCCGCGCGGAGGCCGCCCTGCCGGGGGCTCGCGACCCGGACCCTCTGCCTCCCCGCTCTGCAAGCCCGCGGTCCCGGGGGCGAGAAGGGAGGGCGCCCCGCTGCCCTCCCTGCGCGTCCAGACCCTCCAGCCCACCGCGAAGCAAGCCGGCTGGCAAACCGAGTAAGTCCAGGGGGGCATCGGGACTTCATCTTCAGGGCCCGGATTTTCCCCCTCCCCTAGTCACACACACACACACACGCACGCACGCACGCTGCTGCATATGTACTTTTCATAGCCTTTTTCCTGCTGAAGAAATTGGGAGATCTCGAAAGCTTGCACAAGCGGCGTGAGCTTTAATTGGCCTGTTCGATTATGCTAACGTCGCTTTTGGAATTTGACTTATGGTCAACATGGCTGCCTTTCGGAGGAATTGGTTGTATGGAGTTGAGCAAACAAGAATCTAATTTGAGCCCAGAATAGAGTTGCTACTTCCCCAGCAGTACCACCACCTCCTTCCTGCTTCAGATGCTCTTGTGTAAGCGGCTGATCCGGGCGCTTGTTCACAACAGTGGCAGGGTGTGTAATTTAGGCTTGTGGCCCCTTTGAAGACTAAGGATGCAATCCTATACAAATTTAGACACCCAAGGGGCAGCATAGAAATGTTCTAATAATAATAATAATAATAATAAATCCCCAAGTAGACAACATGCTGAGAGTTCTAGACCTGTTGCAGTCCAAATTTGTATTGGATTGCCACTTAAACTTATTTGGATATATGCTGAAATAGAACCATGTAATCTTTAAGGTGCCACAAGTCTCTGTTGTTGTTTTTGCTGCAGCAAGTTTATCCCTCTGGAAATCATGATGTATTTGAACATGCCAGGCTATTCAAAGATACACTATTTCTCTGCATGGAGGCTCTGCACAGTTGTCATCAATATTATTGGTATTGGCCTTTCCCAGGCCTGCTACTTGAAATCCTTGTAAATTGGAAGTGTTTCCAGGACAATAAGACAGGAGACTTATATTGTGATACTCCTATAAGGACTTGACATGGGGACTGGGTAACTCTGGAATGGGGGAGAAGACAAGGGAAGGGGCCAAAAAGGGCCATGTCAAATTGATATGAAGAGCATCAAATATTGGTGAGCGAGAAGTCTGAATTAAGAAACCTGTGTTACTATGTGGTAAGGAAAGGAAGTTGCCTGAATTTGTGACAGGAACAGAAAGAATTGGGCAGAGAGCATTGGAAATTGAGCCTTGTTGATGGAATGATAGACCTATTAAGTCTGTCTGGGAAAGTAATCTCTGAGTAGAAGTAAAATTTTCACCTTGTGTGTGTAGGGTTCCAGTTTGTACACAGTAGATAGGTCAGTGTTCTACCCATTTTACAGATAGAAAGCTGAGGCTAATTATCAATGACAACCCATGGTGGATATGACTAGACTAATTTGTACACAGGTATCTATTGCCTGTGAAGATCAGTTTATCACCAGAATAGCCAAATTTTGTAATTTTGGAGACTTTGGATTGTGCTTCAGGGTTCACCTGCATTTTTAATGACCCCCTTGGGATTGGGTTCCATCATCAAATTGCTGTGTCAGGGCTTCCCAGTTGTGAAGCTCAAGCATTTGTGCGCAATATAAATACAATCATGTGTTTTCCCTATATTGTACTAGTTGCATGCAAAATCTAGAAAGTGGTAACATTGATGAAAACATGTAAACATTTGTTCTCTTTATGGTTAAACTATGGAAAGGAGGGTTTTACTCTACCCTAATTAAAAGTGAGCAGTGCTACCTTGCAATAAAATCTCTTTGCAGGTCTGATAAGATGATAAACCACCAGTTGCCTACCTGTTTTCTCCAGTGGACTGTCTTTTCTTTTAAATGGGTGCCCTAGACTTATTTTGCAGATAAGAATGTGCTACATTTCCTCCTCTGACTTAAAAAGCACATGAATTCCTATTGCATGAAGTCTTGACAAACTGTATTTTTATGAGTAGTAATATAAATGACTCTAAATTGTCGAGGATGGTCAAAACTGAAAGAGATTGCAAAGAGCTGCAAAAGATCCTGTCCATTCTATGTAAATGGTCATTAAAATGGCAGATGTTCACCAGGGTCAAGTGATGCATGTTGGGACAAAAACCCCCACTATACTTATACACAGGATCTGAGATAGCATGGTGTGAATTATCTGAAGAGAGGGCCATTTTTCTCTTTCTCTTATAATACTAGAACCCAAAGAGGTCCTTTCATGCAGCTGATAGGTAATTTATTCAATATACAGTATTAAAATACTCCTAACAATGGCTGATTTTCAGATACATCAATGGAAGACTCAGCATTGCATCTTTCTTCTGAGAACGTAAAGAGTGAAAATACCAACTTGGACTGAAAGACACTGTTGAAACTGCCGGTTCACCATGTTGGACTTCCTAGCTGAAAATAATCACTGTGGGCAAGCTATCCTTAGGATTGTTTCTTGTGGAAATGCAATCATTGCTGAACTTTTGAGGCTCTCGGAGTTCATTCCAAGTGTGTTCCGACTCAAAGACAAGGCTGATCAACAGAAATATGGCGAAATCATATTTGACTTCAGCTATTTCAAGGTAAGCATTCTGAACCGTTCTTTAAACTTTTCCCTCTTACTGGAATGTTCCACATGCTTTGACAAAATCCTATAGAAATCAAATCCTATAGAAATCAATCAATGATTAATTTTAACTGCAGTGAGGTCTCAGTTAAGAGGAAAAGAAGAAATTCATTATATAGAACCTTCTCTCCAGAATCTTTTTTTTTCCCCTGAAGAGGGTAACAAATGGACCTGGTTCACACATAATGCTAACCCATAGTTTGTTCAACCCATGATTTATTGCCCTATCCAAAGCTTGTCTGGCAGATGGTTGAACAAACCATGGTTTGTTCTCTGAGTTGCTGGGTTGTTTCCCTCCTCTTTCACCCACTCCCCTCCTGAAATCAGTTCTTGTATGCATGCTTGTGGTTCCAAAACATTGTATACTGCCAGGCCATACAGATTATGGAATATCGATTCTATTTCAGGGTGCTGCCACATGTATTTTGAGGTAGGAAAAGTCACAGTTTTGATATTCAGAATGTGATAACTTTATTTCTCCCTTGCCACCCCAACCAGATTTTGTTAAAATAATGTTTTCCTGTTCTCAGGGGCCTGAGGCATGTGAAGGAAGGTTGGAAGCCAAACCTGAGCTACAGGACTTAGATGATGAATTTCGTGAAAACAACATAGAAATCTTGACAAGATTTTATCTGGCATTCCAGAGTGTTCATAAATACATAGTTGACTTAAACAGGTAAAAAAGTATTCATGAATACTTTAATAATCAATTTCTTTCCCCATCTTGGTCTTTTTGCCAAAGCTTCACTTGCTTGTTTTGTGTTTCTATCGCAGCCTCTTAATTTTGCCTTGCAGTGGCAGCTGTCAGTATAAAATCTCAAGAAAATTGCAATATTTTTAAAAATCACAGGAATTAAAACCAGGCAAGAAATGATGACGCACTAAAAATAGCGGGAAGGGGCACAGCAGCTGCATTCAATTGTTGCCTAAACTAAAGATAATGTTTCATATTTTCAACTTCTTTCCAAAGGTCATGAGGGGTGGGCCTAGAGCAGTGATTTTTAGAGGTGAGGCACCACAACCGAAAAGGCCCTGCTCCTTGGTGCCACCTGCTATGCTGCAAAAAGCATGGACGCTCTGAGCAGGCTAGAGAGAAGTTTAGTGGCCTGTAAAGCCTCTTCAGCTGCTTTGTTAAAGAAATGCATTTTAATAGCCAAAGCTGTCATCCTTAACTTGCTAGCATACACCATTCTGTTGCCATCAGTAAGGCTTACTGTTTTAAAAAGCTGTTTAGGGCTGAGCAAAATACTGCACTCTTCAGTGGGTGCCGTTCCTGGTGATGTCCACTGATTTCTCTGGGATGAAGTATGTGGGCTTCACCTGCAGGAGTATCACTGGACTGGGAGCATCCCAGGTCAGAGCTTTGCCATAATAAGAGTCCCATTTTTCCTTTTCTTATATGCATGAATATTTCCAGGAAACAGAGAAATGCATGTAAAGGTGCCATTCTCCTGGAGGCAAATCCTCTCTCTTCTGCATCTGCTAACTCACATATAGGGACACATTCTTACCTTAGATATTTAACTAGAACATAGAGAAATCTAAATATCACCATATACTTACAGTAATCTTGATTTTCTGTAATGCTAGTTCTTATGCAGTGAAAATGGCAAAGTCCACACACAAGTGGCAGCCTGGAAAAACCCCAAAGTTTTGCAGAATCACCAAAAAACCAATAATAATCCTTCATAAAAGCAATCCTAAACAGGTGGGGAAATCAACCTGATTGGGCATAGTTGATAGACATCAATCCTCGTTAGAGACATTCAAAAAGCATCTGGACAGTCATCCAAATGGGATGTTTGTAGTGTAATATTGTGTCCTGTAGAAGCAGGGGATTGGACACAATGGCCTTCTGGCCCCTTCCAACTCTGCTATTCTATGATTCTATGAT